CTGAAGTTTAACACATTGTAGCTTATACCAAAGGTATAGCGCTAACGCTAATTTGCTCAACGACGTACGCTGGGCCATACGACGCAACCGAACACTCAAGTTCCCTTCAAATATACACCTTGTCCTAAAGTATAATACGTCCATGAAATTGATATACCCCTTACACCTAAGCCTTCGAAGAATAGCAAACACCCACAATGGACTCTTCCCTCTTCTATTATAGAAGATAAATTAATGACATGGAACAAAGCTTCCACGAATGTTGAGGTATATAAACTGCTCTTTATGCATCGCGAAAGATTGCTCATTTCAAAATGATGGAAATTCATTTACACAGATGGCTCCAAAAACTGCCACAACACCGTTTATGTAGTGGTTTCAGAAAACTCGAAAGTTATTAGAAAGGGGATACTTTTACCGCCATGTTGGGTCTTCACCGCTGAAGCATACGCCATAAAAGAAGCTATCCAATGGACATCGATTGTCAAAGGCAAATTTGTAATATGTACCGACAGTCTTGCAACAATCGCAGCCGTTCAAAATACATCCAACAGTAGCCCTCTAATCGGAGAAATTCGTCAAAAATTAATTGATGGCTAAAGAAATGTTAAACTAATTGTGGATTCCAGGCCACTATGGCATTCCAGGTAATGAACTCGCTGAAAAAGAAGCAAAAAAACGTCACCTGTAGTCCATGCATTTATGTGAAAACTTATGAAAGCAACGACACTTTGCAATTTGTAAGAAACTACTTAAAGCTTAAAGCGAGAGCGGCATGGGATTCTTTTGACAACCGCTATCGACTCATAAACCCTGATCATAGAAAAGCAGAATACCCTTCCGCATGCAGCATCCCGGGGATCAAAGTTTACACACGACTTCGTTTAGGACACTGTATCTTAACTCACCAAGATATTCTGGATCGGAACATAACGCCTGGCTGCCGGCTAAGCAACAGTTCAGTAAACTCCATAGAATACATATTAAACTACTGCCCTACGCTTTGTAACATACGACGAGATTTCATCGACACTTCTCTTTCGGGACTTGTCCAAGAACCAACAACTGCCAACATAAAAAATATCTACAACTTCATCTCCAGAGCCCAATTAAAATCAACCTAATATCACAGCATTGTATAGATTTCATACACTACAACTTAAAATCAAGTAAATTTCTGCATATAACTACTTCTAATCTTAAGCATTCACATTGTAAATATTACCATAAGGATTTGTATATATATTATACATATATGTACTAGCTGACCCGCTGCCGTTGTCCTGCGTGAARTTATGTGTTTTGAAATGAAAAGAAAGTAGAAGTTACCATTTCTGTTTTTTTCATTGTAACGTTTGATAAACCACATTTTTTGATTTCTGTTCCGGTATACAGAAAAGACGGTTTTCAAACTCGTGAGCACGCCACAATAAAAACATAGCACTCCTAAATTTGAGAAAATAAGGTGTGTCACAATTTCCACTGGAAGCGAAATACGTTTGAATTGAAATGGTAAATCATTGAAACTCAAAGGAATTCGTAGAATCAAGCATTCTGAGTCCTTGTATTCGATAGGTGCGTCGCAATCAGTCGGATTCCATTAGACGGGTTCGGCGCATGCAGATTGCGAAACATAATGACGACAGATTCAACTTTTAGACGCAAATGATGCGGTGGCTTACCAAGCCTCTACAAAGAATTTAGAAATTCCACTGGATAATTATCGGCGTCGTCTTTATTGTCAAGACGATCGATCGATTTGTATGAGCGCAAGTCTCCCGGAATTTGACTTTGAATCTTCCAGTTTAAGTCAACAACATCGGTATTTTTCGCAGCTAACATTGTGCATACACTTAAGGAATCGTAGTTACGATAATTTAGCCAATGTTCGGATAAACATGTCGATGAGTTCATTTTTCGTGAATGAATAAACGGCGAATGGAATTGATATCAAACCACCGGAAGTATCAACCGGAATTTCCAGTTTTTAGCGAAGAGGACTAAATTGAATGCTAAATGTTCTGATATTGTCGTCTGGTGAGCGACGCCGATAGAGTGGATATCCATCATTTCTAGTTTGTGTTTCCGAAAGAAAAGCGCGTGGATAGTGTTTCGTGCATTTATTTTCCGCAAGGTCCATGAACCATATTGGTTTTCATCACTTCGTGTAATACTGGACCTTTCTCTGCAACATTAATTTCTGCAGAAATGATTTCATCAATTTGATCTGTTGTAACCACCTCCCAAAGAAGAATGTGTAAGTGCGGCAAACCTCTCTTTTGCCACTCAACAGAGTACATCTAGCATACAACAGCACCATCAAACATCCTAACTGTTATTTGAAAAGCCATGCTATTACGATCGATTGCTGATTGAATTCTGGCCTTGCCTTGCCTTGGGCTGCCATACGTTGCTCGCAATAAAAACTCTGACCGATATTGGGGCGACCTCTTCGTGGCAAATTTGTATCTGCAATTGATCACAATTTTCCGACTTTTCCTCATGAAAAATTTTTATTTTTAAACCTTCCCCGATCCACAACGAACAACCTCTGAAAACTTCATCAATATTTATAATATTTATAACTCATAACTCATGTATGTCTGTAATACACGTACATTTGAACCAATAATTCTTCAACATTAGTCATAACACTAACTCATAACTAATATTTGATAATTAAATGTACAAATTAATTTAATTCCTCAGCCGAAGGCCATGTCGTTAGTGCTGTTATATTTTATAAGTAGTATAATTATTCATAATTGTATTCCTTTAATAAATAACTAAAACTACGCTTGAGCAGAGAATGTATAAACATAGAGAAGGTGCAAATTGAATTCTGTATGATGTTCGATTGGACGACTAACAGAACTTATAATGATAGGGAAGTCACCATTCTCGCTGCTATTTAGTAGAATTGAGCACGTCCTCTTGCAGAAATATATGTAAAGCGACTGAATTCATGCGAGAATGAATAAAGAGAAGAAAAATATACAAAGTAAAGAAGCATTCTATGCTTCACATATGCGTGATTATCTTGTATCATATGAACCATTTTTTTCAGAAAAATGGTAAAAATTTTAATTTTTTTTAGAAATTCTGGAATAATTAGATAAAATATAATTTTAATTTTATTTTTTAATTTTTAAATTAATTAATATTTCAAATAMATTATATTTATTTCGACTATTACAAAGTGAAGATGTGCCAAATGAACTTCATTTCTTCAAGGATAGATGACCTTCATGAAATTTGCATATTCGCATTATTTCGTTATCATTTCCATATTTGTAGCAATAGAATTTCTATGGCATACATACATGTATACATACATATATTACTTCTTTGGCACATTTGTCTGTATGTTTACGAAAGCAAATGCGAGCCACATACATATGTATGTACATACATTCATAATAACAAGTGCCGCACGCATCTTTCGCATCTCCGTTGTCACCATCAACTAATGGCCGAAGCTCTCGTATTGTCAAAGAGTCATCACAACGTTGTGTTGTTGGTAGAAATTCCGAGCTGTGCCGAAAGAAACTAACAAACGATCGCCGATTGTTACCGCTTTCCTTGCTGCTCGAACAGCTTCGCCAACAAGCTAGCGTATATATATACGTTTATGTATGAGCTTGCATACATACCGACGCTGATTTTTGCGAGCTACGGAAAAACATTTTTGAACTGACAAATGCTGTAAATCGACAACAGTTATGTTGCCACTTTTCTCACTTAATGCTCGGGGAGATGTTACGGCGTTTGTTTTTATGAATGAAACGAGGTCGCTTGTGGAATTTGCGCCTGCGTTTATGAATGAAATCGTTTTTGTTGTAAAATTTACTATATTTGGACTTCGCCAATTCGGATGCCATATTGACTTGGCATGCTTTTGCTATTTGAGACAGTTGTTGTTTTTGTAGAGCAATGTTTAAATTTTTTTTTGTTACATATTCACATGTGTAGGCATATGTACATATGTTTGTATGCTTGTGCATTATTTTTTCGAAAGTGTATAAAAATATATGTACATAAAAGTATATGTATATGAATTGATGAGCATACAGATCAATGCGTAACAACGTGTAATATATTGATAAGTGATAACATCATTATTTGAATTTTTGAACGCGCACATGCGTATACATGCAATCATATGAGCAGATAATAAGATTAATATGATGGACGATATACATATTTATACTATATTGTTGTGATAAATACAATATCTATTAGTAAGAAACATAATGCAAAAATATTTATTAGTATATTATTATAATGTAAAAATGTAACGTTTACATGTCAATATTGAATTGCCGACGGCAAAACGCAAAAGCATGCATACATATTTGCATACATTGCGATTCCCAAGTCGAAAGAAAAATTGAAGCATGAAAATATCACAATGCAATGCAAAGAACTTGTTTTGTATGTAAATTATTTCTTTTCATATTCTCTATTTGAGTATGTGAGAGAACTGTTAAAAATGTTAACATTTCACATCGTGAATTCTGTGGTTGTGAGGTGAATTCCCTATCACAATCTTATAAAATGTTCGACATCGAACCTGCGCCTTCTCTATGTTTATACATTCTCTGGCTTGAATAGCAATCCCTCTTATACCCTTGCGTTTTACTCCATCTCTGATCCTTTTACAAAGAAAGATTGTTATATAAGTACTGCACGCTTAAGGACCATACAATTTTGTGCTTCATGAAAAATGTACTTACAAACTTCCTCTCTTATGTACCACTTCAAAACCCTTATGTTATTTTTCATCGAAGCACATACAATGTGTCCAAGAGTCAACCAAAATTAAAAAAATAATATTTTTAACAAACAGAACATAAGTACTACAGTACTTATGCGGGTTCTGTTAGGGTAATTCTCTCTTTAAGTACCATCAAGTCAACATCTTTTATTGTGGCACTTAGCCGGGATTGACTGTATATATAATTAAATTATGATATAAATTATTTTTTCTTTTATTGCAGGTTGTGTACATAGTGCGAAAAAGTTATATAAGGACTTGTATTTGATATTGTAGAAGATTATGGCAACTTTTAATTATTCGACAATTATAGCAAGTAAAATAACGCGAAACTTTTTAACGGCTATTTTGATTGTATTATATACACAAAGAAGTAGCGCTAACCAAAGTATGTATAATGTCATATAATTGTTTAACATATTTTGAATAAATTTTAAAAATTTCAGATCCATTTCGTGATCCAAGTATTTGTGGAAAACCACAGTGTGAAACGCCATTCAGAAAATTTAATTTTCATGACAATTTATATAAATACGAATATAACGTAGACTTAAATACAGAATTTTCTGGTACAGGCAATAATGCGTCCAGCCTTTTCCTAAAAGCAACCGTCATCATATATTTTCCAAAGCCTTGTGATGGCTTTTTACAAATCACGGATGTTAAACTTTTTGATCATGAGTGTATATCGAAGGATGACGAATTCAGTAATAATGCAAATAGCAGAAACGAAAACTTCGATGAAGATGATTATTATGGGGAATTCACAGATTCAAGAGGATATACTGAACCCAATGATAATTTTATTAATATGCATCCAAAAAGTATTGAGCTGGCAAAAGATTTAAAACGACATTTGTTACGTTTCTCTTTTAACGATGGGCTTATTTCGGAAATATGCCCAAACTTCCAAGAATCCGTTTGGACTTTAAACTTGAAAAAAGGCATCCTCTCCATTTTTCAAAATACAATGCTGCGCTTTGATGTCGATTTCAATACAACAGAAGTCGATACATCCGGAGAGTGCAATGTGCAGTATACATTAAAAGATGTGAATAATGTTTTTATAAAGATTCGAAAGACAAAAAATATGCAAACATGTCAGAAGCGCTACTCAACTAATTCTATACTGCAGTCTACTCCATACAGCTTTCGTGATGACAAAGCTTTATGGCCAATAATTGACTCTATAAGTTACTGTGATGTAAGTACTTCTTTCTCTAAAATATAATAATAGTTATATATGCAATGATTCCATATACACTCTATATCACGTGAGTAGGATTATAAAAAGTCGGTGAAGATAATGTTATTCTCAGGCTCACCACCTTATACAACTCAAATGCATTACCGAGGCCCAAAATATGTTTGGGCTAACGATTACGATTTTTAAATCACTTTTGTATAGCTATTGCGATCGCCACTTTTCTTAATAACATAGATATGTTAAGTAGTTCTGACGTGCAATAATGCCAAAAAAATATATGTATATAATCTGAAATAAAAGGAATTAATTTTATGGCAATACCTTTAATGTTACATGAAGTGAAATAGAATAATTTGTATAATCAACAAAATTCATTTAGCACGGATTTTTTATACTGATTCGCATTTAAAAAAAACAACATGTGTTTTTCACCATCTAAACGCATTTTCCTTTCATTTTAAATAAGCCTGGTTTGAGAAAAGAGGAGTTCGCAGGGAACCGAAAGCGCTAAACATCCTAATTTTGCCCGAGCTATGGGAGACAGATAACAGATCTCTCGACGAAAGTCGACGAAGTCTATAAGTCACTCATAATTCCCGTCCTGCTATATGGTGCAGAGGCTTGGACGATGTTAGCAACTGATGAGTTGACGTTGCGAGTTTTCGAGAGAAAAGTTCTGCGAAAGATTTATGGTCCTTTGCGCGTAGGCCACGGCAAGTATCGCATTCGATGGAACGATGAGCTGTACGAGATATATGACGACGTTGACGTAGTTCATCGAATTAAAAGACAGCGGTCACGCTGGATAAGTCATGTTGTCCGAATGGACGAAAACACTCCAGCTCTGAATATATTCGACGCTGTACCCGACGGGGGACGCTGAACATCGAAAATGGCCCTCGAATTACAAGTACCTCCCGGCTTGGTTGACGCAATGTTGGAGTATATACATAGATGTAGCTCCGTTTTGAAAACTGAGGTTTCTACTTGTGGTTCTTGGGGTTAATTTGCTCGGGCTTCTTGAATTACTCTACGATTTGTAAATAAGTCGGCTATTCGAAATTATTGAAACGTGGATCCAAGAATGATAACATACCTAGAGCGTTGCTCTTTTCGGTATTTCCTAATCTTTCATTTATACCATTTAATAACTCAAAAACCACTGCTTTTACTGGATCTAAATAAGTATTGTCTTGAGGCCATTTACAATATAAATAACCATTGATTCAATGCAATATTTTTGGTCGCTTATTTTTTGTGGTGTATTCAAAAGGTTTTAACACAGTAAGCAAACAACCGTTTGTCAGCATTAATTGGGGATAATTCCTTACTTATGAGCACGACAGTAGTTTTAACGGCATCTTCCACTTTAATAAAACATTTAACCTATAAAATGTAGAATTCCAGCGATTATCAACACTCTGAATTAGTTTTAGAGGTTCGGTACCAGCATTGCGTTGAAAACTCCTAAATTTTTCATTTGTAGAAGTGCCTTTTCCGAAATGTGCGACAATTTATTTTACTTTTTGTAAAACAGCATTRACGTTCTGCAACAATTAAATTTAACGTATGCGCAAAACAGCCGAAATGGCGTAGTTTGAGCACATTTTGCAAGGCACTCATTATATTGTTTGCGTTATGAGACACTGCAAATATTATTTTATTAAATACTCCCAGTTGAGACTTTTTGTATTTGCTCGGCTAAGTTTTTGGCAGTTTGTGCCTTTCTCATTGGTCAGGAATCCAATAATATATTATTAAACTCAAAACTGTCACTTACAAAACGTAGTATAATTACTATGTAACTCACTGTATTGCGTCCAACAATAGGTTGTAATGCAGAATTTAACACCATTAGTCACTTTAAGCTTCTTTTTTCGAGGCATGCTTCATATAATGCCGGAATCATAGTTCTTGACACTATATGCCAGATTTAGCGCTTTAACGAATTGGACAAATTCACTGTCCTCGACAATGCTGAAAGGTTGTAAGTTCTTGATGAAGAGCATTGGCAACACATCATCAATTTCCGTTTTTGCCTTTGCAAGAATCTTCTTATTACATATCCCGGCAGTTATTTTGGATTGGCGCAGAAGGTTCTGAAGTCATATTAAAATCTCTTAACTGAAATGTAAAGTAAAAATGTTATGTTTTACCGAATTGTAAATTTCTTTCCATAACTTCATGCTGCGTATTTATATCGGCTTAATTGCTACGTTTCATATGATATATCTTTTTTGCAAATTTTGCGTTTCACTTATTGTTTCGAAAAGTTGCCACATTTCATTTCGTTTTTTATTTTTTTTTAAATCCATTTTTACTTTTAATAAATTTCAAAAAAACTTTACCTCCAATCCCACAAAAACACCACATATAGTGAATAAAAATGTATTCAAAATTAAAATTTTTACCCCCAACACCAAAAAAACACTACACGCATTTTTTTTCACCAGCTAGTGCCAACTGTAAATTTCATTCACAGTGAAATAGTGATATGTAGAAAAATCACCAACCACTGATATTGTGGGCTGGCAATAGCAGTGACTATAAGAAGTTTTTCAATCACAGTGATAAAATCACCGGTGATGAAATATCGTTTATCCTTATAGCACTGCCTTTTACAGTGACAAAATGGGTGATAACGGATTACAACCACAACCACTCCCTTTATAGGGGTTTCATTTGTTGAAAACTACTAAAAGTGAAATGAAGGAATAAATTTTATTGCAACAAGTATGGAAGGGCTAAATAGGCTATATCTGATCATTTTAAATTAAGTTATTGTTAATATCATGTTTTATTTGCGTTAGCTGTGTTTATATGAAAATCAACCTAATCAAGCAGATAAGCAYTAAATTTGAGAGTAACCGAACATTTTATACTCTCGCAGAGGATTGGAACCCTTCTCTAACTCAAATCACCTAAATCCATAAAAAAGCTTCGAGTTATGGAACGAAATTTGCATGAAGTTTCACTTATATTGCCAATTCAAGTCTTTAAGTTATGGAACTTCAACTGTATATATGAAAGTATATATAATTTGTAGTGTATGTATATATATATATACAAGTATATAACACATACACTGACCGACATATCCGACAAAAGATTTGTTAGAAACACAAAAATCATTATAATATTTAGTATACTACTTTGATCGAATTGAAATGTGAATTTTGTCCATTTCATCCCCTTCCGCAGAAATACACTTAAGCCAACGAATTTTCCAGTCATCAAAGCTCTTGGAAAAATCCTCCGTCGTGATAGTCATCAGAGCTTTCTTCGATTGAGTTGTTACAAGTATATCCTCAATTGATTCAAAACGGTGTTCTCACGTGAATTTGCTGAATGGCCAGAAGTTACACGAGGTAAATCAGACGAATGCGGCACGATATTAGTTGAAAATGTGGTGAAATGATCACGAATAGCCAATGCAGTATGAGATGGTGAATTATCGCACTTCATTGTTCAATACATTCAAACATAATAAAACTTTAAGAGTTCACTTTTTGAGCATCACAAAATGACGCGTGAAATTTAGCATAGATGTCACCAACAGTACTACCAACTTACAGAAAGAAAATTTACCGATTCGAAAAACATGCGACGTATTAATAAAAAATTGCAATTTCATCACAGTAATATGGTAATTAGGTGCAGGATCGAACTGACTTTACCCATTTTTGTCTATACTACATGTTATTAATATGTCACATAAGTTCATTAAGGTACCATCACCAATCATATGGATTAAAGTCGCCCGTAAATTATGAGTTTCTTATATGGCGGCTAAGTCAATTCACCGCCCAACTTTATCCAGCATCCAGAAAGTTACACTGTTATTAGTAAAACAYGCTCTCTAATTTTTATTGACACAAGTCACATATTGACCGATATATACGGAATAGAGTCAAACGGAATTTCGAAAAATTTCTAATTAGGTATTTGGGGGTTCATTGAAGTATTCACTCGATTAAATCCATTTTTTACAAACACCATTGTCAGAAAATTGTATCCCTGAATTTCAATTATACATCTCGCATATTGACCGATTTTACGGTAAAAAGTCAACTATAGGTACTGGCATAAAGTAGTATAAAATTTTTGAATTTTACGATGTTGGGAGTACGCCAATTATGAACATATATATTTTTAATACTTTGTATATACATATGTTATGTTTATTAGATTTCGACATATAAGTACTTTATAGGGGTAGGTATCAAGATGCCTACGAAAGCAATACAAAAACAATTGTAGGAATTGTAGACAGTCGACCTTTATTTATTTCGATAAAGCTACTAATGTCTAATATGCTTTTTGTAGGTCAAGAATCAAGGTTTGTTTCTTGATGGATTCCAAAGRTTCTGTTTTTAGTGAACTCAATGCAGGACTATGCTGGAATTAGTCATGGGTGACGAAAAGGCCAGGAGAGCCGCCTGGTTATTCGTGTATATTGCTGCTTTATGTATCCTCTCGTTATCCAATAGTGCTTCGCAGGCCTTCCCTATGCCCAGTACTTCCGCTTGTAAGCTGTTAGCTGAGTTCGGTAGCCGGATAGAGAGAGATGTTCAAATCGTCGGAATATACTTCCGTGCCTACCCAGCAGTGCCTTTTGAACCCGTCGATATAGACTGAGATGATATCTTCCTCCCCTACTATGCCCATTCTCAATTCACGTCTCGAGTCTATCTTCACCTGGAAGCGTCTATTGAAATCCAGCATTGGGAGAATGTAGTCTGATTTATTGATTTAGGATATCATTATGTCCATAGTTCTTCTGATTCCAACAGCCAAATTCTTTTATTCTTATTGCAAAACATGTTGTTCTTTCGTGAATATAGATGTCAATGGGTAGCTGGTGCAAGATCRTATTAAGCGCTTCACTCAGACATGACTTGATTGCACCAGTAACACCTGCACATGCTGCTCTTTGTACCCTATTTAATTTCTTATGTTGTATTGTTTCTTTAGCGCTCCATACCAGTGCTCCGTATGTATGCAAGTATAGGTCTTATGACAGCCGTATACATCCACATTATTATACTAGGTTTAAGGCTCAAAATCTTACTGATGATTCTCTTGCAAGTGTAGTAGGTTACATATGATTTATTTGTTCTTTTTACTATATTTATTTTCCAGGACAATTTGGTGTCAATCTCAACCCCTACGTATTTAGATGAGGGGTTCGACAGAGTAAAGTTGAAGGGTTTAGCACGGGAAGTTGAAATTGGGTGATTTTAGTTTTACTTGTGAACAGCATCAGTTCTGTTTATTGGAGTTAACACATAGTCCATTGTTGTTAGCCCATAGGTATAACATGCGTAGTGCTCTTTCCATGTGATTAAAGCTGTATGTTTTATTTTAAAATAAATCATCGAGTATCTTTGAAAATTCACTAAACTCAAAACCTCGCCAATAACTTAAATGAAATCCGATCAGTTACGTACACGCATATATGCTTGGTTTATAATTTCGTTATTATATTTAATATAAGTAACAATAATAAATAAATTAATATGTAAGTTAACACAGCACTTCAGACAATTCCCACCATCGGTCAGCAACTCAGTACGAAACTCGAAACCCAGCAATAGCTGACGTCGCATCAGCAGTATTAGCGGCTTCACAAGCGCATCCGATTAACTGCTGACTATAGGGAACCTGACCCGGTACAAGCGTAGGTTTAATTTAGACTTAAGGTAAAAATTGTATTCAGTCTTAAGACAGAATTTTTGTAATAAAGACGCGGACGCGGGTCCGCTATCCTTTTTAAAAATCAAAACCAAAAACTAATGGTTTAATTGGCGCCCGAGCAGGGACGTAGGTACCTTAGAGTACCAAATGACGTCATCAATTCAAGGTAACCATACTATTTAGGAATTTTACCAAAGGGTATATTCGCACCTATCTCTCATTCTTAATAAACTTGGTTGCATGGAAATCGGTGCTAAATCCATGCATTTACTCACACGAACTTATCGGGACAAAGCCCTTGACACTTTTATTCGAGGACTGAATGGCGATTTGCCAAGGCTCCTTGGCATGAGAGAGCCCGTAGACCTCCCTGAAGCTCTTCACTTATGTCTTAAGTTAGAAAACCTAAAATTTCGTTCGCATTACGCGATCAATAATAATTCCCACGTTAGAAAAGCTCAGGACTCTTCCGCCTAAAAGGGCACAAACGAATTCTACCCACAATTGGCTTACATTCCTAAGCCATGTTTATCTAAACCGAACTACATGCCTCAGCAACGGCAACAACCAAATTTTCACTATAGTAATTCTCCAAACTTTCGGCCAACATATCAACATCCCGCTAGGCCACAACCCGCACGTCCTTTCAGACTTCCGCGTCCAGAGCCAATGGATGTAGACCATTCCCTACATACAAAAGCGGATAACTACCGACCGTCAAATTGTCCTCCACAAGTGCCTTTCAAACAACAAAGGAACTTCCATATAGAAACCGGTAGAGAAGATCTATATGACCAACAAGCCACATATGACCACCATGACGAACAAATCTTGACATCGACAAAGAAAGAATACGAAGCAATGTTAAACAACGAACAAATCCAACAACTAGTTCAAGAGAATAGCCAACCCGACTACATAGATATTAATTTAGGATGGAAAGTTCTTCGTTGCCTTATATAGAATTTAGAACGAAGATCGGAAAATTTTTAAAAATACTTATAGATACATGATCAAGCAAAAATTAGATACAACCACAACAAAACCAGTTCCTAATGAAGAAGTTTTTTTTGCAAATTCCATAGCAGGAAAGATTCAAATTACTCATCATACAATAATTAATCTAGCTCAAATAGATAACTCGAATTTGAAATTTTTTATCCTACCAGGACTGAAATCTTTTGATGGTATTATCGGAAACGATAGCCTCAAACGCTTCAGTGCAACTATAAACATTCGCGATGACATAATTAAATTCGGTAACGGTAAAGAAATAAGGATAAAACAGAAGCTTTCTCTTACAGTAAACAGTATTGACGTAAGGACAGATCATATGACACCTTCTCAGAAATTCCTCATTTAAAAACTTGCAAACAAATATTCTCAATTATTTTCCGATCCAAATGAAAAACTAACCTACACTACTACCATGGTAGGCGAAATCAGGACTTCTTCAGGTACACCCGTTTACATCAGATATTATCCATACCCTATTGGCATGATCCAAACCTTACTCAAAGATGGCATAATAAGAACATCACGTTCTCCATACAACTCACCAGTTTGGGTTGTTCCAAAAAAATTAGACGCCTCCGGCGAAAAGAAATTTAGACTCGTAATTGATTACAGAAAATTAAATAATGTTACCATTTCCGACAAATACCCCATACCCGAAATAAATGAAATTATTGCGCAATTAGGAAATAATAAATATTTTTCCGTATTGGATTTAAAAAGTGGATTCTACCAAATTCCTTTAAAAGAATCTGACATTGAAAAAACAGATTTTTCTGTCAATAATGGCATATATGAGTTTACACGACTTCCATTCGGGCTGAAAAACGCTCCTTCTATATTTCAAAGAGCCTTAGATGATATTCTAAGAAACTATATAGGTAAAATCTGCTATCTCTACATTGATGACATAATAGTTTTCGGCGAAGATGAAGAAAGCCATCTCCAAAATATTGAAGAAATATTTCGCACTCTCAAAGAAGCAAATATGAAAGTTCAACTGGACAAGTGCGAATTCTTCCGAAATGAAATCGAGTTCCTAAGTTTTATTATTTCACCAAGTGGTGTAAAAACCAATCCTTCAAAAGTTGAAGCTATATAAAATTTCCGAAAACTTTGAAAGACTTAAAATCTTTCCTTGGCCTTTCCGGCTACTACCGCCGCTTCATAAAGGATTATGCTAAATTGGAAAAGCCGCTTACTTCGCTCTTAAGAGGGGAGGATGGACGCATTCCCAAAAATGCATCCTGTAAAAAGCAGATAACTTTCAATGGCGCAGCACTAGAAGCCTTCAATAAAATAAAATCCTCACTCGTTTCAAAAGAAGTAGTTCTAGCATATCCTGACTTTAATAGAGATTTTCACCTCACCACTGATGCATCTAATTATGTTCTCGGAGCAGTCTTAGAACAATCAGGCAAACCCATAGCATTCATATCACGTTCACTAAGTAAAGCCGAAGAAAATTACACCGCAAATGAAAAAGAAATGCTGGCAATAATATGGGCACTTAATAATTTCAGAAGTTATTTGTATGGTTCACCCAAAGTAATCATTTTCACAGACCATCAACCCCTAACCTATGCATTAAGCAATAAAAATTATAACGGAAAAATGAAAAGATGGAAATGTATCCTCGAAGAGTACAATTACGAAATGAAATACAAACCAGGAAAGACAAACGTTGTAGCCGACGCACTATCGAGACCTCCACAGACTGACGTTAACGCTCTAACGACTACTGACCATAGAGACGAACGTTCAGCACTTCAGCTCATCCCAGCTACTGAAGCACCCATAAATGCCTTCAAAAATCAACTATTCATCTTAATCGGTGACATAGAAAACTATACGTTTGAAATACAATTTCCCTGTTACCATAGACATACAATTACAAAACGAGAATATTCGAGCATTACTTAACGGTTTATACACTATAGAAAGCTTAATGGGAAAAATTCAGGAAGTATATCCACTTCACTTTGCAAATATCAAAATTAGATTCACACAAACCCTACTTCAAGACATCGTGTCAGAGACAGAACAGRAAGAAATAATTATTAAAGAACATCAGAGAGCACATAGAAATAGTCGCGAAAACAAAACACAAATATTACAGAAATTTTACTTTCCAAGCATGCATTCTAAAATCGAAAAAATAGTTAAACTATGTTCCATATGTCGCTAGCATAAATATGATAGACATCCTCCAAAACAACGGTTACAAGAAACTCCCATTCCTCAGTTTCCAACAGAAATCGTCCACATTGATATTTACTTGACAGAAAAAAGGCGAATACTCATGTCCATTGATAAATTTTCAAAATACGCACAGGTTAAAATTATACAGTCCAAAGCAATAGAACGTATAAAAAACCCAATAAGAGAATTAATGATCTCATTTGGAATAACAAAAAAAGTAATAGTAGATAACGAAAAATCTCTCAATTCAGCCACAATATTAACTTTAGTAAAGGACCAAATGTCTATTAATGTATATACCACACCACCCTATAGTAGCACCAGTAACGGACAAGTAGAAAGATTCCATAGTACACTTTCTGAAATAAGGAGATGTTTAAAAGCAAACAACATAGGAATAACGTTCGAAGAATTATTATTCAAATCTGTGCAAGAATATAATTCAACGRTACATTCAACAACCAGAAACAAACCCATCGCCACATTCTTTGGGAATAGAGTTTTTAACGACCCGCAGCAGTTAGCGCAGCAGAGAAACGAAAATATTATATTACTCAAGGAAAAACAGGAACAAGATCTTTCTTACCATAACAGCAAAAGATCAGAACCTAAAGAATATTCCCCAGGAGATATAATTTATGCAAAACTAAATAAAATAATTGGTTCAAAACTAACTCCAAAATATAAAAAAGAAAAAAGAAATACTATCTGATAATAATAGAACAATAGTTAAAACGATGTCAGGACGTATAATTCACAAATCTCTAATAAAAACTTAACTATCTATTTTAGGAACAATGGATTTATCCAAATTTATAATTATCTTCACGGTGATTACATCTTCACTAGCAGATGTAAAAATTTTGGACTACAGTAAAGCTCAACTCATTACAATAGACAACGGAAATGCAAAAATACAGGACGGAACACTTAGACTAATACACCTCATTGACATAGACCGTTACGAACATTTCCTGACAGAAACTTATAATGAAATAACCACTCCCCCTAAACTATAACTTCCCTAAAGATAACTTCCTTTATCCTATCCTCAAACATGAAACTACCCAAACTTTTGAAATCCTCAACACCCTTAAACCGGTAGAAAACAAAAAGAAGAGGAGATCAATTGACATAATAGGAACGGCATGGAAATACATCGCCGGATCTGCTGATCATAATGATCTTAATATTATAAATGACAATTTGAATAATCTGAACCAAAATAATAATAATCAAATAATTATTAATAATTTATTTGAAAAACGTATAAATAATATAACAAACATTGTCAATAAAATGTTAAATACCATAAAAAAGGATGAAGACACTATAACAGAAATTATGATAAATTTACAAAACAGAATAAGATTGATCAAAGAAGAATTAATAAATATAAAATATGCCATCCAATGGGCAAAACAAAATATAATAAACTCAATACTTTTAAGCATTGATGAAGTTAAATTTTCTATTAATAAACTAAAGGAGGAACAAATGCCTTTTAAAACTGAAGAAGAGGCACTGAAATTCTCAAAGATAAATGTACTAAGCAAAGATATGACGATTTTATATATGATAAAAATTCCGTTAACAATCGAAGAAACAAAAACTGGAATAATATTGCTGAATAAATTTAATGGAAAAATAGAAGCCGATGGGGAAACTAAAGAAATAAATGGAACACATGTCATAATATTTTACAACTCAACAATCAAATATTTAGCAATATCGAAGCAAAAACAATTGAAGCCATTCCCGCAATTTTGCAACCAGCCCCAATAAAAAAAGAACGTATTGAATTGCTATCATTGGGAGCTTTAAAAGAATTACACCTCACCAACATCAAGCGGGTAAATTCTCTTAAGAAAGCTACACTATCTATTGGCAGCCTGACAT